ACTGGTGGTAATACTATCTTCCACCAATGTCTCTGGTATTTGCATTGAGTTATTCCTGCTGCATGTGTTGTGTTGGATGTAGACTCGATGAACCAGCCAGGATTCAGTTATCAATCTCTCTCTTCACCTACATAGATTACTTTTTTTCCGATCTTCATAAAGAATTTTATAGGATAGTTATTTAACACCAACTCCTCTTCTGTCTGTTTTATTTCATCATTTAGGTCTTTGTATGTACTTCTTAGTGCTACTGCTCGGTTTGTTAGACCCTTAACTAAGCCTGCCTTAACTATCCTAAAAAATTCATTAGGAAGATCAGTAAAGGCCAAAAGTAAATTAAAAAAATAATTATGAAACTAGTAATGGTAACATAAATAAGAGAGAATATAAGGCATCCACAGCAGTTATACCATATAAGGAGGGGACATCTGAGACACTCACTGCCTACGTAGGATTCTAAATAAAGCAGGAATTAGGGTGGTGGCATTCAAACCTACAAACTCACTCGGCTGGGACAAGGTGTGTAGGTTAAGTTAAAGGACCCTGTCGGTTGACCCAATTAGACAAAATAATATCGTTTACAAAATATTTTGCAATGACTGTGAGTTAGGTCAACTACATAGATGAAACTACTAGGTCGAGGGTAGTCAAAATGTCTTTCAGAACATAAGAATTTAGTGGCTAAGGTAAGAATGGTTGACCCCACCCGAGAAGACCAGTAATTAAGAAAAAAGCACTGAGCACTACACTGCACTGCATGCATTAACACACAACTACACAATAGCATGGTGGGAGAAGGCTAAAATTCTAAGAAGTGATCTAGATAGGTGGAGAGAGAGATTGATAACTGAATCCTGGCTGGTTCATCGAGTCTACATCCAACACAACACATGCAGCAGGAATGACTCAATGCAAATACCAGAGACATTGGTGGAAGATAGTATTACCACCAGTCTGTCAGTCAGTCAAATCAGATCTGACTATGAAAACACTCGTCATATTTCCCATCTGATTGTAATTGATTAATAACATTCATACTATTATTATTTCTGAATGTACATTATCTTATATTACTGATTTGTATTCCAATGTCTAATCATCAATTCCACACATGTGTATAAATGAAGGCAGACGAAAGTTGTGTGAGTGAGTGAGTGAGTGACTTGATATGATGATTATGAGTGGCAATGATAAATTGTGCTCGAAGTGTGTGGTTGCATCAGTTAATATTACTTACTGTATAACACTACACACACACACACTGTGTGTGACAGTTTATCAAAATAAAATCTTATCCATAATGGAGTAGTTATACTCTACCACACCACAGTGACCAAGTTTTATACTTATATCGATGTTATCAACTAGTTAGAAAAGTCAAAGCCATGATATTAGAAGACGTTGGAACTCATTTGTATTTTCCCAGGCAGAATTTTGGTACAAACTGGTAGATATGCAAGCGAAAAGCAACAAGTTGGCAGAAGAAGCATCCAGAGAAGATAGGACTTCCTTCAGGTGAACATAGAGAAAACATGTGGTGATGAAGATTCCTGGGCAACACCACCAACAGCAGCAACAACAACAGACAACAATCAGCCAGCTTAAATGGGAGGAACCTGAAAAAAAACAACCTCCTTTACCTACCTACCTACTTGGGAAGCATCGTTTCATCTACAGGCGAACGGAACTGACGAGGATATCAAGGCAAGAATCAGGAAAGCAAGACAAGCTTTCATCACTCTCAAGTCTGTGTGGGGGTCAACAGCACTCAGCATCAAAAATAAGATCCGGATTTTCAACTCCAATGTGAAGTCAGTCAGTGCTACTCACTATAGGGATGGATCAGAGACTTGGCTGGTTCGTCATAAAGAGCATCCCAAACAAACTACAGACCTTTAGTGTGTATTCCCACTGATAAAAATGTTTATCTCATTATAATTTAATTTCCTTGAGAGTTTTCTGCAACTCACGTGGTTTGAGAAACAACAAAACAAAACAACAAAATTTGTAAAAAATTATTATATTTGTAAAATCTCAGCGAGATTGAAATGAGTAATTCCAACGTTTCCTGTGTTCGGCAATCTGGTCCGAACTTCTTCAGGGAAATTAATCGAGATTAACATAACAGAGGTTTATATATGAAAAAGAACATCACTTGTTTTTAAAAACTTTGTCCAATCATGAGTCATTCAACAAGTATAATAAACAAAATTTTATGAGCTGTGGTCAAAATTTGACCTCGGACTTACAAATATTGGTCAACCTTTGTTAAACACAGAGTGTGTATGTGTGTGTGGGCGGGTAAACAGTTGTAAAACATTTCTTAACGTCTCCATAAGAAGATATGGACAGTCGAGAATTTTGACCAAGTATTAATAATTAGTGATACATATCCATTTTTATTTATTAATCAGGATTTCCTATGCATCAGCTAACATCACACCTTCATGTCTGTTCAAACTGTTAGTATCTAGAATTTTATGATTAGACGTATATCTTCAAAATTATGGTGTTTAGGATTAGAGTTTAGTTGAGGAGCACCCTATCGAACCTATTGCTTTGTCTTCTTCTTTCTGAGAATTGAGCTACTTTATTCGACCTACTGGAGTTGTCAGGTGACTCGACGTCTACGGATTTAGGATATGCATTCTGTTGCAGACAACGGAGAGTGAAAACACGATGATTGTGCCAATTACATAGTTTCTTTGTTAATTTAATTCGATTGCAAAATAATAATTCAAATGAACTGTCGTCAAGATTTGACAGAATAGTTCTAAAATAATTTTGAAAATACGTCTAATCATAAAATTCTAGATATACTAACAGCTTGAACAGGAATGAAGGCGTGATTTTAGCTGATGCATAGGAAATCCTGATTAATAAATAAAAATGGATATGTATAATAATAATAATAATAATAATAATTTGCTTTATTCCAAAACAGTACTTGTGATACAGAATGGAATTCTCAGCATTTTTACTACAGTATCACTAATTAATTAATAGTACTTGGTCAAAATTCTCGACTGTCCATATCTTCTTATGGAAACGTTAAGAAATGTTTTACAACTGTTTACACACACACACATACACACTCTGTTTAAAGTGTTTAACAAAGGTAGACCAATATTTGTAAGTCCGAGGTCAAATTTTGACCACAGCTCATAAAATTTTGTTTATTATACTTGTTGATACTTTTTGAATGACTCATGATTGGACAAATTTTTAAAAACAAGTGATGTTCCTTTTTATATATAAAACCTCTGTTATGTTAATTTCGATTAATTTCCCTGAAGAAGTTCGGACCAGATTGCCGAACGAAACGTTGGAATTACTCATTTCAATCTCGCTGAGATTTTACAAATATAATAATTTTTTCCAAATGTCTACTTCTCACTCGGCGCCTAAATATTTTAGAACTATTCTGTCAAATCTTAACGACAGTTCATTTGAAAACAACAAAATGTTATTCAAAACAATTGGTGTCCCCTTTATGCATTTAGATAAAGCAGCAATAAGAAGACGTAGTTTGTCTGAATCGTGTGTGTATTTTGAATATTTGCGTGCAACACACATTTCGAACAATCTGATCCATCACACACACACACACACACACACACACACACAAGGACTTGTCATAGTAGTATACACATGAGGAAATAATAAAGAGTTAAGAGGTGAGAAAATTGTTTATCTTTCCTAGACATATTGCTTAGTCAACGGACGGCTTGATGGGTCAATAAAAAGATCTATTTATGGAAAACCTATCTGGACAGGACAGTATCTTAATTACAACAGTTTCTGCCCTATTCGGTACAAAAGAGCCTTAGTGAGTGAGGTGCCTCTTCAGTAGAATTCAACGAATATGAAGAAGAAGAAAGAAAGTTGACACAAACTCTGGTTGATAACAATTATCCAGACAAGTTCATCAGGAGATATAAAGTAGTCAGTGGAACACCAAGACCCACTCACTCTACAACTCGTCCCTAAGAAAGACGTGTACATCAAGCTACCCTATATGGGTGGGGCATCATAGCAGCTTGATAACTAGACAAAGATTGAACGCCGTTGTGGTTTAAAAGACTTTTTATGCAGCTAATATCATAATAATTGAGGATGTAAAGCCAATATATCCATCCATCTAAGCCCTTTGAACATGCGAAAAATGATGTCACATCCACTCACAATATTCACCAATTTGAATGTACCTGTGGACAGACACACAAACATGCATAGAGAGGACTCATCGATCTCTGCAAGTAAGGGCTGGCTGGTTTCAGAGCATATTCCTAAATGGCTCCAAAAACAAATGGAATCTTCAGAACCCATTAATGGTGAGAACAGACGAAGACCTAGCTCTTCTATTGCGAAACAAATTGCAGAGGAGATACGACATAAAATTGACGTCTACACATCTTTTAAACCTATTTTTAGAAGCGTGTTTGGGGGAAGGCGTATCTTAAAGTTTGTGAAAGCTAGCCCTAGCTGGCAGTTAGGAAGTTTAAACCACCTTAATGCGTTCAAAGCAGCAATTCGTCATCACACCAACTAAACCTACGTTCCTTGTTGGTGGTTAACATTGTTTTGATCGCCACCAGCCAGATTAGATGTACTTTGTTACCTCTGTAATTTGGTTTAGCGATTGATCTTCATTGTTATTCTGACCTTCAATACGTCCTCCTTTTAACTTGACCTAAGCAGTCAAGTCTATTTTCTCACCCACCTCTTAACTCTTTTGTTATTTCCACATATGCATGACATTCCTATGACAAGTTCGTGTGTGTGTGTGTGTTGGATCAGATTGTTCGAAAACTATATTCTCCCTGGAAAATGCAATTAGTAAGGGTTTTATTTCCAAATAAATTTTCATTCATGTAATGGAGCATTACCTTTATCGGTAATTCTCATTTTCAAATCAAAATTTTTTCTCAAAATTAGCAATCACAGTACTGATTTAATTTTTATTTATTTTCAATTTTCATGCGGTCTCATGTTTGTAGACTCCAGCTGGAAGAATTGGATTCGTTAATGCGCTAGAACAAGAGGTGAGTTTTAATAAGTTTTGCTGGAACTAAAAGGTTTATGAAATGATTAAAATATAAAAATAGGACTTGTACACTGTGATAGAGTAGAATTCCATTGTGATCTAATTGATTTTGATGTGGTTGTGTTCTCTGAGATGGATAGTTAATTTGCGAAGCTTTCATCACCCTACTGGGTGACATCTTCAGCGCATACTTCAATTTGAAGTGAGCTTTTAGATTTCTCCACGAGTTCACCATTAATCATCTCTCCTGGCGACCTTGGACATGATTGGTTGTTTTTGTGTGCTTTCACACCTTCTAGGTTACTTGTATTGTCACTCATTGTTTCTTTGACTTGAACTTTGACCCTTTGTGTGTGTGTGAGGTTTCTTTCTTATCGGTTGACAAATTTTGTCTCTCTCGATGTGTCTATCTATTGATTGATGATTCACTGGAATGCCAAACTTCTCAAAATTCTCTAGCATTCTTGTTGTTTCCTCTGTCTAATATTTGAACGTTGGTTGTCGCAGTCGAATTGATGGCCATGGTTGTCTGTATGTAGTGAGGCGATATGAGTGAGGGAGTGGATGTCATGTCTCTTGACAGTTAGCTTATATTCGTGGATACGAAGACGAAGAGGAGGGGACGTCCACTTTGGCCGATGTAGTGTTTTTCTCAGTTGTTACAATTTATTTCGCAGATGCAGATGTTGGCTTTATCTTCCTTCGCTATTGAGTCTTTTTGTTGACATAGAACCAGCTGAGTGAAGTGATTTTGTTGGTTTGTGTACGACGTCAATTCCTAAAGGTTTGAAGAGTCTTGTAGTGATTTCTGAGATGCTCTTCATATATGGTAACGCGACTTTCTTTGTGATTTCCTTGGGGGCTTTTGGTTTGATAGGTTGGCTTGGGGGTATATGTCTTTTGATGAAATTCCGTGGATATCCATTCTTTTGGAAGACGTCCATGAGATATTTTTCTTCAATTTTCCTTAAGGTGGGAATGCTGCAATGACTCCTGACTGGCTCTCTTGAATAGTGTTTGGATGCAATTCCTCTTGCGTGCTATTGGATTGTTGCTGTTGTAATTCAGGATTTGGTCTGTGTGAGTTGATTTTCGATAGACTTGAGTTTCTAATTCCCCTGTCGTTGTTCGCTTGACTGAGACGTCCAAAAATGGGATTTGGTGTGAAAACACACAAAAACAACCAATCATGTCCAAGGTCGCCAGGAGAGATGACTAATAAACTCACTCGTGGAGAAATCTAAAAGCTCACTTCAAATTGAAGTATGCGCTGAAGATGTCGCCTAGTAGGGCGATGAAAGCTTCGGAAATTAACTATCCAGCTCAGAGAACACAACCATATCAAAATCATCCACCTGAGCTACAAATCTTCTGTATCATATCTGATCTAATTGAATTTTAGATTTTCCCGTTCCTTGACTGATTGAACTGAAGTGCTCGTCGGTGTCAGGTTGACATGTCTGTTGGCTGTTTGTGCAGATGCTTCGACCATGATGTCTGAGCATGTAATTAGAATTGAATTGGTGGATGGTGACTAACAGTGTATGTGATCCAGCGAGAATGCGCATTTCCGGTCCTATTTGGGACTCGTCAGTTGACTGGCTTGATGTACCTGCAGTCCCAAGTCAGTGATACTGATCCCAGTGCCAATAGTTTCAAACACCCGCAACCAAAGCGTTACCCACTAGACCACTCGGGCAACGAGAGCCACCTATTGTGCAACGGGTCATAGTAATTACTTAATTGAATTTTTAGATTTTCCCGTAGCGTCATTGAACCGAAGTGCTCGGTCTCAGGACGAAATGCGCGTCATCCTGGATTCCACTATTGCTAGTTACCATACACCAATTAAATTCCATTGTGAATAAAATTTATTTTTATAAAGTCTCATAGTGTTATACAGTTATATTTATTGATGACGGTGGAATTACAAAGTGATTCCCTGTGTTGGTGAGAACAAGTCACTCAGCACTATAGAATAATGCCAATAGATGTCCTTATGACAAGAAAAGAGGATGGTACATTAAGAAGAAGAGGTGTATACAGAAAACCTACATCAACTGACTGTCAGTATACCAATTTTCTCAGCCTCGTGCCCTTCTTGAAATACAAACGCAATCTGATAAAGTGCTTGGTCCACCAGAGAGCAAGAAAAATCTCCTCGGATGTATGTCTTGATGAGGAACTTAATAATATGAAACGGTTGATGAGTGAAATTGGTTATCCAGAAAAGTTTATTGATAAGAATATGATTCTAAAATCAAGGCTGTCCAAGGTGCCAACAGTCCCGGTGCAAAGGAAGGCCTTATTCTTACAAATGCAGTCAGTTCCTTGGGGATAACATCAGCGAGATACTAACACAGCGTCTTAGAAATGAGGCGGTAAAACGAAGAGCATTCAGTGCTGTTGCCAAATTACGCTGTGTCTTCGAGATCACCAGTATTCTCTTTCGTTCGTTCAGGAGTAAAAGACAAAGTGCCTAATTTCCCCTCTTCCTTGTGTGTGTATCTATCAATTTAACTGCTCCTGTGGGGTGAGTGAGTCACTTACTTGCATAGGCCGTACAATTAGGCGTGTCTCTCGTCGAATTTCCCAATATCACCCACTCTGAACAGTGGTTGGTTGGTTAAGCAAAGGACAAACAAAATCTAATCACGCCACTATTCTATTCTATCTACTCATCTTCTTTTGGATACACAACACAAAATCGAAGTTCACGATGCTTTCAGTGTCATTTACCGCAAACCCACAGACAAATCTCAATTTCGCCTTAAGAATTCCACTACTAAATATTGCTGAGGCTGGCTGGCCGTGTTGGGATCCAGATTAACAAGCCTAATTTGTGCATCCAAAAGAAGTTGGTTGGTTTAGACGTTATTCTTACCCGCTTGGCCATCCAGATTTGAGTGATCGATCCTGAATTTTTGTGGAATTTTCCTAATTTTACTTGATATTCTATTCGCTACTATATCTTTATTATTATTATTTAAGCAGCTTTAATGAACTGTGGTGATTCCATTGTGATCTTACTTTACAAATCGATATTACTATTTAAAAAGCACACACTGATATTGTTATTGACTACTAATCTAGAATATTCTATGTATATAAACATGCATATATAGATATAATTGTAGAGCGAGAAGAGGATGAGGAATTTATCGGAAAGGATATTCTTTGCTGACTCAGTTATTTTGTGAATTATGTTTACATCTTAAAATTCTTTGATGTATTTCGAACTTGATAGAATATTTTTTTTATTCATTTACTCCCCGAGTAGAACAAAGGACTTCAAGCTAGAGGTTTGAAATCTAGGTAGCAGTGGGGTTTATTGTTTTTAAGGGATGGGGTTGCTGGCCTCATTCATGCCCAGTTTTCTCTCTTTACCAGTCTTCTTAGTGGTTTAGGAAGGTAAAGCAATGCATTGGCTGGAGATCGAACTCCGGACTACTTGCGTGGTTGGAGCGTTGGAGCATTCTACTGCTGTGCTACCGACGCCCGGGTAGAATATTAGACGCACATAAATGCGTCTAATTTCACTTATGAATAGGGCATTTTGCACTTCCTTTTCATAAAACTTCATGTCCTCTTGTTTATAGGTATCAGTTTTCTTCCATTGGAGCAGTTATTAGTAGTACTAGGAGTAGTATTGGGAGAGAGGGGCTTTTGTATATCATTATTATTTCCTTTAATTCCTAGAGGAACATAGGGCCTCAGCCACGCACGTCTCCATTGCGCTCGGTTCTCTGCTAGAGTTTTCACTTGATTCCACGCTTCTGCCCACATGCTTTCATCATCTCCTCTTCACATGACCTCTTCCTCCAAGTCACTTGGTGGTTTGTTTTCTCAGTGGATGACCAGCCATTCCACCTCCATTTCTTCCTGATTATTTGTTGCACAATTGGTTCATGCTGTGTTGGTTGGTTCACTAATTGCCAGAGATCCCTCCGTGTCGCTGATCTTTTCTAGCCAGCCATCTGATCTTGAGAGGTACTGAGCGAAGACAACTAGCTGTTGATGAAGGTGTGTAGTTTGTTTGAGGTGCTCTTTATGACGCGCTGGCCAAGTCTTTGATCCATCCGTATAGTGAGTAACACTGACTGACTTCACATTGGAGTTGAAAATCCGGATCTTATTTTTGATGCTGATTAGTGCTGAGTACTGTTGACCTCCACACAGACTTGAAAGTAATGAATGCTTGTTTTGCTTTCTCGATCCTCACTGCTTTGATATCCTCATCAGTTCTGTCCGTCTGTGGTTGAAACGATGCTTCTTAAGTAGGTAGGTAGGTAGGTGAAGGAGGTTGCATTTTTCAGGTTCCTACCATTTATGCTGATTGTTACACACACACACACAAAAATGATATCAAAATCATAGACTCACTGACCTGAGCCAACTTGGACATGTAAATCCATCAGTATATACAATTATGGATATTCCTTAGTGTTAGACATTCACAAAATGGCAAGCAGATAGTTATAGGTATTATCGGTCAACAAGATTATATCCACAGATACAGTGTTCGAAAGGCAAATATTAATAATAACAATATGTATTCCACAGCTTCTTGGCAAGAAATTCCACAGAAACAAGAGTTTTATGTAACTAAGTAAAAGGTAGCGTACTAATTGAAAAGCGCGTCAAGGTCCCGATGCAAAAATTCATTGGGCTTTTGTATAACTGCAGAGTTATTCAATGATTCTACAGTCAGTGAAACAGTATTATTATTTACCGGATGACACAGTTTCGAAAACAATTCATTATTGTGGTTCATAATAATTTCACCAATTATTATAATCACACGACTTCGAAATTTGAGTTTTATAATCTTCTTTGTTCTCTCCTATTTGTGGTCGTCATTGGGGTAGTAGAATTTTCCTGATATCCGAGTGGACAGGCGTTGAATCATTCCTGTTACACCTGTTGATTTGCAGTTGATTCGATCAATCTTCACCACACGCCACTCTGTTGGTTGTATTAGATTTCAAAACTGTCATC